CCCTTTCTCCCTCCCTTCCCTTCTAGCGCCGACCGGGACGCCCTCGCGCGCGGATTGGGCCTGCCCCAAGGAGAGAGGGACACTGCCTTGGTCCGGAGCTATGGAGGGATTGGGATGACGCCAGAGTGGGGCCCCACCCGCCTGAAGACGTTGAAGAAGCGGGAGAGGAGCAGGTGGGGAGGGGCGGGCGGGGACGAAGGGAGGACAGGACAGGGGAGGGAGAGAGGGGCGGGAGAAGGAGGGAACCTTGGTGCAGCTATCGTGTCTCTCATTCCCTTCCTCGTCTAGCTGGCTTAAAATGCTATTTTCATGCTTCATCCATGCTCTTTCTCCTCCCCTTCCCTCCTCTATTCCCTCCTCCCCTCTCGTTCACCTCCTCCCCTCCTCCAGGATCCTGGCGCAGCGCATGACGGGCCGCCCCCTGGTCTGGCTCCTCCTCCGCTACTCGCCCATGGCGGAGGTCCAAAAACAGGTATGTGCCTGCCCACGCCAGATTTCGAACTCTGCCTCGTTCCCCGCAGTCGACGAAGCTCCTTTCCTGCCAGACGGTCCACCTCAACGCCTTCTTGACCCTCTGGTTCCGCGCATGTTCCATCCTTAACAGCAGGATCCAGCGTCCTCCCGCCCCTCACCTTCCCACCCTTTGAACGCACCGGACCAGGGTCGCCGTGCCGCTCTTTCTCGGGCCTCGGGGAGACTCAGGCGCTATGGGAAGGAGGCTTTGGGGTAAAGAGGGAGGAGGGGCGGCGACGGGGAGGGAGGGAAGGTGGTAGCGAGACTCACAAGGGAGGACTAAACAGTCCTACCTATCACGGCACACCACCGCCATCGCTCACCTTGTCGTTTACGCCTCTCACCCTTATCTCCCTCGACAGGTACATCCCCTACATCCGCCTGCTCCCTCGTCTGGCGCCCATGTTCCGGTCGCTCTACCCGTCCCTGGCGGCGCGTCTCCTCTGGGGGTCTGCGGAGGAAGGGATGGAGGCGGGGGGAGTGGGAAGTC